ATACACTCCATAGTCTAGGTTCACTCTTGAAGTTAAAAGGAGCCGGGGAAGCTAAGCTACCCTACTTGGGGTATGTTGAAGCTATAATCCTAATCCCTAGTGACTTCTTAGGTCAGGAAGTTGAGGTAACTATACCGATACTTGTAGTGCCCAATACTGACTACCACTTCAAGGTGCCTTTACTATTAGGGACAAATGTCATGACTGCTGCTGAAAGCCTGCATGGTGCACCAATAGCAGCCACTGCATCACCTTGGAGTCAGGCTCAGCAATGGCTCATTAGGCGTCGGGAAGACCTTAACCGGACTGAGTGTGTGCGGACAAGCAAGCCAATTGTTATCCCTGCTTTATGTAATCAGATTATTGCAGGTATAAGCAGGGGTAAACCACCTCGGATTGGCATGCAGTTTTGTACTACAGCTGCCCCCACACTACCTGGTTCACTTAACCTTGTTAATGGGGTTGTGAATTTTATACCAGGACAGTCTACAAATAGGATTAAGGTTGAGGTTGCCAATCCATCTACCAAGGCTGTTACTATTCCAGCCAAGACAGTACTTTGTTGTTTAGAGCAAGTAGATGTCTTAGATGGTCTCTCCTCTACGGATGAGCCGGCTTTCACATCTGGCCCCGAGTCTAAAGACATTTTCAATTTAGAAACCCTGGGTCAGATACATACTCCAGAGGAAATAGCAAAGCTTCGCGATCTTCTTAGTGAGTTTGATGACATCTTCAGCAAGTCTGATATGGATATGGGCCACACAGACTTAGTCACTCACAGGATTGAGCTAACTGATGAACGTCCTTTCAGGGAAAGACATAGGCGCATTCCACCTGCATTGTATCAAGAGGTTAAGGACCATCTGAAGAACATGTTGGATGCTAAGGTTATTCGTCCTTCTTCTAGTCCTTATGCCTCTCCCGTGGTTCTTGTTCGCAAAAGGGACTCGTCTTTACGTTTCTGTATAGACTATCGCCAACTTAATAGTCGTACAGTTAGAGACTCTTATGCTTTACCACGGATTGAGGAGACCCTTGATGCACTTCATGGTGCCAAGTACTTCACTTGTCTTGACCTGAAGTCGGGCTATTGGCAGGTCGAAGTTGCTGAGGAACATAAAGCCCGTACTGCTTTTACGGTTGGTCCATTAGGATTTTACGAGTGTAACTCGATGCCTTTTGGTCTCACAAATGCTCCCGCAACTTTTCAACGTCTTATGGAGAGATGTATGGGCGACATCCATCTCCTACAGTGTCTCATTTACCTTGATGACATCATTGTGTTTTCAAAGACCTTTGATGAGCATCTGGAGAGATTACGTGCAATCTTTCTTCGATTGCGCAAGAATGGCCTCAAACTTAAGCCTTCTAAGTGCCAGTTCTTGCAGACCTCTGTGAAATATCTGGGTCACGTAATCTCTGAGGAGGGTATCACGACAGACCCTGAGAAGATTGCGGCACTGGAGACCTGGCCAGTTCCACAGAATGTGGATGATGTTCGTCGTTTTCTTGGCTTCTCTGGATATTATCGTCGCTTTGTGCCTAATTATGCCAAAGTTGCAAAGCCCTTGACAAATTTACTTGTTGGTCAATCCGGCAAGAAAAGGAAAAATAGCAAACCCGACCAGAACTGGATATGGGGGGAGGAGCAGCAGTCGGCTTTCAGTGAGCTTGTTGGTAAACTTATCAGCGCTCCCATTTTGGCTTTCGCAGACTTCACTCAGCCATTCGAACTGCACATTGATGCAAGTGGCGATGGCTTAGGCGCGGTACTTTACCAAACCCAAAATAGCCAGAAACGAGTGATAGCCTATGCGAGCCGAGGGCTTTCCAAATCAGAGCGCAACTACCCAGCTCACAAATTAGAGTTTCTAGCTCTGAAATGGGCTGTCACCAGGAAGTTCCATGACTACCTGTATGGCAACCCATTCACCGTTAAGACCGACAACAACCCCCTCACTTACGTTTTAACATCAGCGAAATTGGATGCAACTGGACATCGTTGGCTCGCTGACCTTGCTGCTTACGACTTTTCTGTAGAGTATGTACCAGGGGCAAGGAACAAGGATGCTGATGCGTTGTCCAGGTTGCCACGTGAGGTCATGGATATCCAATCTGTGTCTGCGGTTTGCAACAGTCAGCAGACGTCTAGTGTTGTAGAGACGCTCTCACTTTGTCATGAGGTATTGAACTGTGTTTTAGCAGTTGATGATTTCGAGTCTACCAATGTTGGGACTGATCATCAGATGCTATCTTGTCAGCAGGCGGACCCCTCAATCTGCACGATTGTGGACCTTCTCCGTAAAGATCAGCGCCCTTCAAAGGAGTCTCTTAGGTCATTTGATCGTGACACAGCTTCAATCCTCAGGCAGTGGGATGCTCTCTCCATCAATAACAATCTCCTTTATAGGAGACAGAAGACTACAGAAGGTGATTATCCCTACTTTCAACTCATTGTCCCAGAGCCTCAACGAGAATCCGTCATTACTCATCTTCATGACGGGATGGGGCATCTGGGTAGGGACAGGACTGTGGCTCTCCTACGGACGAGGTTTTATTGGCCAGGAATGATGGGAGATGTCGAGAACCACATTCGTAGCTGCCAGAGGTGCATTCTTCGGAAAGCTCCTAATCAGACTGAGCGCGCACCATTGGTCAACATTCAGACCACTCAACCCATGGAAATGGTGTGTGTTGACTATCTCAGTCTGGAACCTTCATCTGGTGGTTACGAAAATGTTCTGGTCATTACTGACCACTTCACCAAGTATGCTGTTGCGATTCCAACTCGTAATCAAACAGCGCGAACAACAGCAAAGGCCTTGTTTGAGCACTTTATCGTACACTATGGCCTCCCTGAAAGGTTACATTCAGATCAGAGACGGAATTTCGAAAGTGATGTTATCAAACAAATGTGCAGCATACTTGGGATACAGAAAACAAGGACAACTCCCTATCACCCCATGGGGAACGGGTTATGTGAACGGTTTAACCGGACACTTCTTGGGATGCTCGGGACTCTGCAGGATCAGGAAAAGGCACGTTGGAAGGACCATATTGCTCATGTGGTCCATGCCTATAACTGTACCTTGCACGAGTCTTCTGGGTTCACGCCCTACTTTCTCATGTTCGGCAGACATCCTAGACTGCCTGTTGATGTTGCCTTTGGCACGTCTCTCGCCAACACTTCATCGCCATCTTATACGCAGTTTGCTGCTGATTTGAAGCGCAAGTTGACAACTGCGTATGAGCTCGCTACTCAAAACATGGACAAGGCCCGGGCCAAACAGAGGAAGACTTATAATCTGAAGGCTCGTGGTGCTACTGTTAAGGTAGGTGATGTTGTGTTGGTCCGCAATGTCAACATTCGTGGGAAACAGAAGCTTGCCGACCGATGGGAGAAAGATTTCTATGTGGTGGAATCACAGCCGAATTCTAATGTTCCTGTGTTTAAAGTCCGCAAGGAAGGCACTAGGGAGCATCGTGTACTTCACCGCAATTTACTCCTTCCCATTGGTTCGGATGGCCGTCCCATTCCTAAACCTCGGAGCCCTCCGCCTTCTCTAGGAGCTTCCGCTGTACCTGGTGATACCTCCAACACCGCTTTGGAGATTTCTACAACCGACCTGGATGTGGAAATTCCTTTATCTCCAGTGCCTGGGGGTTCTCCATTGGGTCAGCCGGTTGAAACTCCTTCGTTTCCAAGGTCACCACCAGCTCAATTATCTGGTGTTCCCTCTTCAACGACGCCATCTATGGTGTTGCCGTCACTCGAGTTGCCTGGAGGAATTTCGACTTCCCCAGTGCCTTCCAGCCCTTCCACTTCTGTTGTTCCAGAATTATCTTCTGTCACCCCACCAGTGGTTACAAGACCTGGCAGGTCACGCCAGAAACCAAAGTGGATGACTGACGGTCAATGGGTGGTGAAACAGAACATGGTTTGGGTATAGTTCTCTACTTAGTCCATTGTATATATGTTTGAGCACATGTTATTGCTTTCTCAGGTTTAATTTTCTGCAACCTTTTGTTATCCTGCTCCTTTCCTTGGCTGTTCGTCTGTTTTCAGCTGCGTATGGTGAGGGCACCATTCCCAAAAGGGGGGTGCGTGTAGCAGGGTACCCTATAGTTATATCATTATTCATACATCATCATCATAATCATCTATATGTTCAATGTTTGTCTTGTCTACAGTTGAATATCAGTATCTAACTCTTTAAACAACTCAACACCCTTATTTTCAGTCTCTGGGAATCTCTCACCAGATCTTCCCCTTCAACCTTCTGTCTATCTTTAGACATTTTTTACACCTGTAGGGTTTCCCTCAGTCTATTTATATCTTGCATTAAGCACTTCCTTTGATGCTTAATGCAATCTGTCTTCTAATTGGCCACCCTGGTCCTCTACAGGTAGCTTCCTTCCATACCTGACTTCCTCCTCACTTCATGTGCTGCTGTTGAGGAGGAAGGACATTTTCTTTTCTTCAGGTATGGAATGGCCATATTTCAATCTGTTTTCATCTGCTTCTGTCAGAAATTAATATCTATATTAGGGTGCTGAATTAAATTGAATAATATATATATAATATCATTTAAAGTAATATTAAATTAGTAAATGGAATATTGATATTATAAAACTTGCTTGTAAAATAATTAACCACATGGTCCATTTTGGACCATGTGCTTTCCAAGTATCCTATAATGAACATATAACAGTAATTTAACATTAAAGTTAGTTTTAGTATAGTTTATCAATGGCTTTTGTACTTTTATATTTAAGATAAATAATACCTGTAAACTTGCAAATATATGACTTCATGTGCTGCTGTTGAGGAGGAAGGACATTTTCTTTTCTTCAGGTAGTTCTTCAACAGCAGCCACCCCCCTTGAAATAAATCCATTATCACCATCTGCCTGTGTCTGTGTTTCCCAACGGCCCGAGCCGGATAAAATACCACTACCCCGGCTACAAATGCATCAAGAGTACTCCTTTCTCTCTTTCAGTACTTGGTGTTTTGGGCCGGGATTGTCCAGTCGGGAAATATGGAGAACACTGTCAACTGAACTGCAGCCGTTCCTGTTTCCCCGATGCCAGACAGGATGTGTACTGTGACAGACACAGTGGTAGATGTTCTGAAGGATGCCTGGCTGGAAGGTTTGGTGACAAGTGTCACCTGTCCTGCAGCAGGAACTGTGGGAGACTCATCTGTAGCCAGCAGACTGGGTATTGTACCAGTTGTAAAGGAAACAACACAGGGGATTTCTGTGAGACCACCCAAGGTATGTACAGAGGGGGTCAGGAATTGTAACAATGTCCTGTGGCAATTTAACTGTAAATTACTCAGTCAATTCATTCATTACTGTCAGTGAAATAATTGATTACTGTCAGTCAATTCATTGATTACTGTCAGTCAATTCATTGATGGGCACAGCAAGGTTTCACTGAAGGTGCAGGATGTTGTTACTTTTAGCGCATCTCAGCTTATATGGTGTCATGTTGGCCAAGAACTTTCAAGATCTTCTCTTTTACATTGTACTTTTACAGCTCTGAATGGATTCATGATCTCGGAAAAGTACAAAAGCAACATCACGGATGCATCATATGTTCAAATGTTCTCCACATGTCTACCATAAAGCATTTGGAATGCTTTACTGAGGCCGCAACACAAGCATTGTATGACACTCTTTGAAATCTTTGTAGAAAGAGCTTGCTCGATACCTCAAAAGTTGTAGTCCTCCCGCTTGGCCCATGACATCATTACGTTTGCCGTACATATGTGCCGATGTGAGAAATATAGTGTAAGTCAATATGTCGACAAATTCTCCTCAAGAAGTTGGTATTTTCCTGGTGTTTGGTATAAGGGCCAGTATGAAAATCTACATTATGAGTCAAGCATTTCTGAATAAGCAGAAGCCATTCCACCTAACAGGAAAACTAAGCTTAACGTGAAGAAGTTAGTAAGGTATTCATTGCTCAGTCCCATGGTAGGTCGACTGCGTGTAGAAACAGGAGAACAGTAAAATATATGTAAAGGGCAGGTAACTCTGTGGGTGACCTTCACCGACAGGGGTGTGTTCAGGTGAGCTGTTTTCACTCTGTGGTATGGATATCAAGATATCACTTTGTCAAAGTAAGCTGAGTATATCACATTCTGAATACTGAGACAATGGACATGGAAGATAGACAGATAGCCCATAAATTGTTTGATAGGCATTACTTAGAAGTTGATGGATGACAAAGAAGACACAATTTATGGATAACAACTTCTTTAATTACTGTAAAGGCGATGTTTCGGTATCGATCCTGATACCGTTGTCAAGCAAGACTGAATAAGGAACATGGTGGAGGAGAACACATGATGTCATAACATCAACTGGGAAAACGCCCAGATCTTCTCCAACAACCTCCATGACTTTACTCAAAGAAAACTAACAGAAGCAGTCCACATTCACCGCTACAAGCCATCAGTCAACAGAGATCAAGACTATTTCATCCCATCCGCCTACTATGAACTCAATAAGCAAATGTATCCTGTTTATTTGGCTTCATGTCCCATTGGCTTCCACCTATATGTTCTCTGTCCACCATGTTGTGACAGTATTATCCTTCTGTTGTCATTACTTACTCATGTTATCCCACTCATGTATGCAATTGTTGTTACTGTGAATGCCCCACCTACTATATATATTCTGTACCATGTTCCTCATTCAGTCTTGCTTGACAACGGGTTTAGGATCTATACCGAAACGTCGCCTTTACAGTATTTGTAATATCTTGATAAGTACTATATTACCCGATGTACCCTAGAGCTATGTACTGTGAGAGTAATGCGTATGGATACCTCACGTGCCTGTGAAGGTAGTCCGCACGTGCTGTGACTCGGCTATGACGTATTGAGCGGCCATGTGGCTGGCAAATAAAGTCTCTCCCCGACGCCTCTGGTTTTGTCATTAGTCTGAGGGCTAGGTTATAACAGTATTAAAGAAGTTGTTATCCATAAATTGTGTCTGAATAGACAATAGTTCTAAAATATGTTGTCTGCAGTTCACCAGTCTCGATTATGTAAAGGCCATCATCATATGTTTGGAATATTGCTTAGTGCGGCTGAAGGGGTCGGTGTCAGCACAGGTAATACAGATATATACCCCAGCTATGTTTATTGTACACAGAAATGTACCCCAGCTATGTTTTTGTACACAGAAATGTACCCCAGCTATGTTTATTGTACACAGAAATGTACCCCAGCAATGTTTTTGTACACAGAAATGTACCCCAGCAATGTTTTTGTACACAGAAATGTACCCCAGCTATGTTTTTGTACACAGAAATGTACCCCAGCTATGTTTTTGTACACAGAAATGTACCCCAGCAATGTTTTTGTACACAGAAATGTGCCCCAGCTATGTTTTTGTACACAGAAATGTACCCCAGCTATGTTTTTGTACACAGAAATGTACCCCAGCAATGTTTTTGTACACAGAAATGTACCCCAGCTATGTTTTTGTACACAGAAATGTACCCCAGCTATGTTTTTGTACACAGAAATGTACCCCAGCTATGTTTATTGTACACAGAAATGTACCCCAGCTATGTTTTTGTACACAGAAATGTACCCCAGCAATGTTTTTGTACACAGAAATGTACCCCAGCAATGTTTTTGTACACAGAAATGTACCCCAGCAATGTTTTTGTACACAGAAATGTACCCCAGCAATGTTTTTGTACACAGAAATGTACCCCAGCAATGTTTTTGTACACAGAAATGTACCCCAGCAATGTTTTTGTACACAGAAATGTACCCCAGCTATGTTTTTGTACACAGAAATGTACCCCAGCTATGTTTTTGTACACAGAAATGTACCCCAGCTATGTTTTTGTACACAGAAATGTACCCCAGCTATGTTTTTGTACACAGAAATGTACCCCAGCAATGTTTTTGTACACAGAAATGTACCCCAGCTATGTTTTTGTACACAGAAATGTACCCCAGCAATGTTTTTGTACACAGAAATGTACCCCAGCAATGTTTTTGTACACAGAAATGTACCCCAGCTATGTTTTTGTACACAGAAATGTGCCCCAGCAATGTTTTTGTACACAGAAATGTGCCCCAGCTATGTTTTTGTACACAGAAATGTACCCCAGCTATGTTTTTGTATACAGAAATGTACCCCAGCAATGTTTTTGTACACAGAAATGTACCCCAGCAATGTTTTTGTACACAGAAATGTACCCCAGCTATGTTTTTGTACACAGAAATGTACCCCAGCTATGTTTTTGTATACAGAAATGTACCCCAGCAATGTTTTTGTACACAGAAATGTACCCCAGCAATGTTTTTGTACACAGAAATGTGCCCCAGCTATGTTTTTGTATACAGAAATGTACCCCACCTATGTTTTTGTACACAGAAATGTACCCCAGCTATGTTTATTGTACACAGAAATGTACCCCAGCTATGTTTTTGTACACAGAAATGTACCCCAGCTATGTTTTTGTACACAGAAATGTACCCCAGCAATGTTTTTGTACACAGAAATGTACCCCAGCTATGTTTTTGTACACAGAAATGTACCCCAGCTATGTTTATTGTACACAGAAATGTACCCCAGCAATGTTTTTGTACACAGAAATGTACCCCAGCTATGTTTTTGTACACAGAAATGTACCCCAGCTATGTTTTTGTACACAGAAATGTACCCCAGCTATGTTTTTGTACACAGAAATGTACCCCAGCTATGTTTTTGTACACAGAAATGTACCCCAGCTATGTTTTTGTACACAGAAATGTACCCCAGCTATGTTTTTGTACACAGAAATGTACCCCAGCTATGTTTTTGTACACAGAAATGTAACCCAGCTATGTTTTTGTACACAGAAATGTACCCCAGCTATGTTTTTGTACACAGATATGTACCCCAGCTATGTTTTTGTACACAGAAATGTACCCCAGCTATGTTTTTGTACACAGAAATGTACCCCAGCTATGATTTTGTACACAGAAATGTAACCCAGCTATGTTTTTGTACACAGAAATGTAACCCAGCTATGTTTTTGTACACAGAAATGTGCCCCAGCTATGTTTTTGTACACAGAAATGTACCCCAGCTATGTTTTTGTACACAGAAATGTACCCCAGCTATGTTTTTGTACACAGAAATGTACCCCAGCTATGTTTATTGTACACAGAAATGTACCCCAGCTATGTTTTTGTACACAGAAATGTACCCCAGCTATGTTTTTGTACACAGAAATGTACCCCAGCAATGTTTTTGTGCACAGAAATGTACCCCAGCTATGTTTTTGTACACAGAAATGTACCCCAGCTATGTTTATTGTACACAGAAATGTACCCCAGCAATGTTTTTGTACACAGAAATGTACCCCAGCTATGTTTTTGTACACAGAAATGTACCCCAGCAATGTTTTTGTACACAGAAATGTACCCCAGCAATGTTTTTGTACACAGAAATGTACCCCAGCTATGTTTTTGTACACAGAAATGTACCCCAGCTATGTTTTTGTACACAGAAATGTACCCCAGCTATGTTTTTGTACACAGAAATGTACCCCAGCTATGTTTTTGTACACAGAAATGTACCCCAGCTATGTTTTTGTACACAGAAATGTACCCCAGCTATGTTTTTGTACACAGAAATGTACCCCAGCTATGTTTTTGTACACAGAAATGTACCCCAGCTATGTTTTTGTACACAGAAATGTAACCCAGCTATGTTTTTGTACACAGAAATGTGCCCCAGCTATGTTTTTGTACACAGAAATGTACCCCAGCTATGTTTTTGTACACAGAAATGTACCCCAGCTATGTTTTTGTACACAGAAATGTACCCCAGCAATGTTTTTGTACACAGAAATGTACCCCAGCAATGTTTTTGTACACAGAAATGTACCCCAGCAATGTTTTTGTACACAGAAATGTACCCCAGCAATGTTTTTGTACACATAAATGTACCCCAGCAATGTTTTTGTACACAGAAATGTACCCCAGCTATGTTTTTGTACACAGAAATGTACCCCAGCAATGTTTTTGTACACAGAAATGTACCCCAGCAATGTTTTTGTACACAGAAATGTACCCCAGCAATGTTTTTGTACACAGAAATGTACCCCAGCTATGTTTTTGTACACAGAAATGTACCCCAGCAATGTTTTTGTACACAGAAATGTACCCCAGCAATGTTTTTGTACACAGAAATGTACCCCAGCAATGTTTTTGTCGGAGAAATGTACCCCAGCAATGTTTTTGTACACATAAATGTACCCCAGCAATGTTTTTGTACACAGAAATGTACCCCAGCAATGTTTTTGTACACAGAAATGTACCCCAGCTATGTTTTTGTACACAGAAATGTACCCCAGCTATGTTTTAGTACACAGAAATGTACCCCAGCTATGTTTTTGTACACAGAAATGTACCCTAGCTATGTTTTTGTACACAGAAATGTACCCCAGCAATGTTTTTGTACACAGAAATGTACCCCAGCTATGTTTTTGTACACAGAAATGTACCCCAGCAATGTTTTTGTACACAGAAATGTACCCCAGCAATGTTTTTGTACACAGAAATGTACCCCAGCTATGTTTTTGTACACAGAAATGTGCCCCAGCAATGTTTTTGTACACAGAAATGTACCCCAGCTATGTTTTTGTACACAGAAATGTACCCCAGCTATGTTTTTGTATACAGAAATGTACCCCAGCAATGTTTTTGTACACAGAAATGTACCCCAGCAATGTTTTTGTACACAGAAATGTACCCCAGCTATGTTTTTGTATACAGAAATGTACCCCAGCAATGTTTTTGTACACAGAAATGTACCCCAGCAATGTTTTTGTACACAGAAATGTGCCCCAGCTATGTTTTTGTATACAGAAATGTACCCCAGCTATGTTTTTGTACACAGAAATGTACCCCAGCTATGTTTATTGTACACAGAAATGTACCCCAGCTATGTTTTTGTACACAGAAATGTACCCCAGCTATGTTTTTGTACACAGAAATGTACCCCAGCAATGTTTTTGTACACAGAAATGTACCCCAGCTATGTTTTTGTACACAGAAATGTACCCCAGCTATGTTTATTGTACACAGAAATGTACCCCAGCAATGTTTTTGTACACAGAAATGTACCCCAGCTATGTTTTTGTACACAGAAATGTACCCCAGCAATGTTTTTGTACACAGAAATGTACCCCAGCTATGTTTTTGTACACAGAAATGTACCCCAGCTATGTTTTTGTACACAGAAATGTACCCCAGCTATGTTTTTGTACACAGAAATGTACCCCAGCTATGTTTTTGTACACAGAAATGTACCCCAGCTATGTTTTTGTACACAGAAATGTGCCCCAGCTATGTTTTTGTACACAGAAATGTACCCCAGCTATGTTTTTGTACACAGAAATGTACCCCAGCTATGTTTTTGTACACAGAAATGTACCCCAGCTATGTTTTTGTACACAGAAATGTACCCCAGCTATGTTTTTGTACACAGAAATGTAACCCAGCTATGTTTTTGTACACAGAAATGTACCCCAGCTATGTTTTTGTACACAGAAATGTACCCCAGCTATGTTTTTGTACACAGAAATGTACCCCAGCTATGTTTTTGTACACAGAAATGTACCCCAGCTATGTTTTTGTACACAGAAATGTACCCCAGCTATGTTTTTGTACACAGAAATGTAACCCAGCTATGTTTTTGTACACAGAAATGTACCCCAGCTATGTTTTTGTACACAGAAATGTACCCCAGCTATGTTTTTGTACACAGAAATGTACCCCAGCTATGTTTTTGTACACAGAAATGTACCCCAGCTATGTTTTGTACACAGAAATGTACCCCAGCTATGTTTTTGTACACAGAAATGTACCCCAGCTATGTTTTTGTACACAGAAATGTACCCCAGCTATGTTTCTGTACACAGATATGTACCCCAGCTATGTTTTTGTACACAGAAATGTACCCCAGCTATGTTTTTGTACACAGATATGTACCCCAGCTATGTTTTTGTATAAAGAAATGTACCACAGCCATGTTTTTGTACACAGATATGTACCCCAGCTATGTTTTTGTACACAGATATGTACCACAGCTATGTTTTTGTACACAGAAATGTACCCTAACTATGTTTTTGTACACAGAAATGTACCCCAGCTATGTTTTTGTACACAGATATGTACCCCAGCTATGTTTTTGTATAAAGAAATGTACCCCAGCTATGTTTTTGTACACAGATATGTACCCCAGCTATGTTTTTGTACACAGATATGTACCCCAGCTATGTTTTTGTACACAGAAATGTACCCTAACTATGTTTTTGTACACAGAAATGTACCCCAGCTATGTTTTTGTACACAGAAATGTACCCCAGCTATGTTTTTGTACACAGAAATGTACCACAGCTATGTTTTTGTATAAAGAAATGTACCCCAGCTATGTTTTTGTATAAAGAAATGTACCCTAACTAAGCGTCAGATTAAACAACAAAGACACACACACTAATTAGAAATATGCATCTGACTACATGTATAACATTCTTTTTTTCAAACCATATCAGTAAAATTATAAATAAACATTGGAAACAAACATGCTGTGCTTTTAATGTAGAGCACCATGTACATGTGGGCACTAAGCCCAGTGTGAATGTCATGGCCATAGGTAGTTCATGAGGTCAAAAGGTCAAGGTCACAAGGTTCATCATGGCCAATTACAAGTGTGGTGACACTTTCTCAAAATGTATTTTCATTACCAAGTATAGTCTAGCACTAATGAGAGGATGTATTAGTTACAGAAAGTTGTCAAAAACAAAGTGAAAGCAAGACGTCGCAAGAATCTGCCACAACACCACTGGTTGTTATACTTGTCCCTGTGTTCGCCATCATCATCATCATCATCATCATCATCATCATGGCTGTACTCTTCATGAGACACAGAAAGTAGGATTATATTTCACTCAAACATGATTTGCCAAGATGTTGACTTTCGATGATAATTCATTCTCCTGCTGGAGACTCACTCCGTGCCTTGTAGTCTATGCATATATGAATATTACTTCCGTATTTTGTCATCCATAACTTCTCTTCTGTATGTGTATCACTTCCAAATGCCATCCAAAGACTTGAACAACAATCAAGTCATGTTTAGTAATAATAGGCTTTTCCATGCCGAATATCATGCTCAAAGTGCAATATTACCCCGGTCAGTGTGTGTACTTCTCATCCTACCGGGTACCCATTCACTGCTGGGTGAACAGAGGCACATTTCGAACAAAGTCACTTGCCCAAGGAGACACCACATGTGGCACATGTGCTTCAGGGTGGGGCAGGACCGATTCAAGGGTTTCCAGAACCAACGTTCTCACATAACAAGATCTTAAGTACTTAAAGATAATCATGTTTTAACTTACCTGACGCTACACAGTGCTTTTGCTTCCCAACCCTATACAAACAGACAGTACTGGAACGAAGAGACAGTTTAAACAGACCACAGCCCGTGCCTAGGCATCCACGAGTTATCCCCCTTGGCCCCCACTCCTCATATTCTTCTCTGTTTGCCTTACGGTCATACATGTATTTGGAACCGAGTTCAACTTACCTTATCATTGACTTCAATTTCAGGTGGTGTTATCTCCTTATATCCTTTCCATGCTTGATATATCAGCTTGTTTGCGGTTTAAAACTTGTAATTAGATTTTTTTCATTCGTGGCTGTGTAACTTTGCACGTGTCGCACCATAGTCGCCATTTTATCTTTCATGCGTCTCGTGGTTACGAGGTCGCTTGTTAATGTACCTTTTGCTATATTTTTCTGAAACTATTCTCTCATTTATTTTGTTGATTATGGCTTTCTATTGACATAATTCCCATTTATTAGGCGCATTATATTTTTCAATTGCTTCCAGTAGCACTTCACACAGTGTTATGCTTGTGTGTTTGCGGGTTCAGTTCACATATTGTCCAGTAACATGTTTTGCTTCATATTTTATTCTGCTCGTTACACTTATGTGCTGTTTACATTTTTTGCAGAACATATTCTAATCGTTGTGCTTCATGTAAAAGGCCCAAGTCGGGGAAAGACCCTCATCAGCTTTGCCCCTACTGCAAGTCTGCGCTGCTCTGTTTGTGCTCTCATGTCAATTACAGACTTTAATTATTAAAGAAAGGCTCTTCCTCATCACCAGAATCAACATGCTTATAGTAGGAAGATGCCTAAAAACTTCTACCTCTCTGCTGAATCCAGCCCCTTCGCCTTCGGATCCAACTACACCAACGATGGTTCCTTTGGGTGCTCCTCCCCAATCTACACCATCTGTGCCGCTTGATTTTATGAAGCCTACAGCGATTTGTGCCTTTTGCAAACAACTGCTTCAGCATCTCCCAGACGACCTGCTTTTACCTCCCGTCAGCTGGGATCTTGCCAGCTCTCGCCAGTCACCAGGTTAGATACCTCGTCCCGCCGTTCTTCTGGTCCCTGTCGCCGATCTCATACTCCTGACGACTCCCCTGCTGCCTCCACTAAAAGTCAAGCGCCGTCGACAGCTATCACCGGGACAGTGTCACCGGTTATTCCCTGATTGTCATCATGCGTCTCGGAATCACCACCAGCCGGCCACAGCCCGTCGTCTCGTTTCATCAAACTGTCATCAGCTATTGTCAGGCCATCGCCATAGATCACCAGATCGCCAGTTTTTCGTCTCGCTGACCATTGCCTCCCATCGATTCAAGTTCCTAGATTTCGGAAAGAACACTATCATTTCCACCCCATGGAATTTGCCAACGTCTCTCCTCCTGTTGATGAAGACGTACAGATGCTTGTAGGCTCTTCTCGGCCCAGTACCTCGATTCAGATGACAGATTCACATCTTGGTAGAATGTACGCTGTGCTCCGTCACTCTCTTTATCCACAGTCGGCGGTGGATTCTGCCAACTCGTCCAGACAGGACTGCTTGGACAAGAATCCATCAGAGGCAAATGACCAGTTCCTCTCTGTCGTGGATTGGCAACAGCGTCAACTTGTACACATTTCAACTCACCTACAATACTGCCTTGGATCCATCACCATCGTTTTGCTCAAGCAGTCCTCCTGGGATCTTTCGTTCAAGACGCAACTGATGCACCAACCTTGGTCTGGGTCGGCTCTCTTCAACGGCCAGATCCCGACTATTGCTAAGGAGGCCCAGAGTTAGGATACTCATCAACAACAGTTTCGCCTCCTTAGCAACATGGAACGTCTCATTTCTTCACAATTCTCTCAGCAGCTGAAATCATATGTTGTTAAGAGACCAAGTTTGAAGCAGAAGTCATCTTCTTTTTCCATTTCGGCCCAAACGCCAGTCTCCCAAGCGAACACATCCTCCCTCCCCCTTCAGCCGAGAATGCTGTTCATCCGTCTCCAGTAAGTAGGAGGGAGACTTCAGGCTAACTGGAGGAATTGGCAGCTGCTCCATGATTCGTTTGTTACCCGGATCCTCTGTCACGGTTACCACCTGCATTTCCGGGCTGATCCTCCTCTAACTACCACACCCTTGGAACCTCAATATCAGCCTTGAGATGTGCCGGAGCTTGAGGCCAATATCGATCCACTGATCGCCAAGAATGCAGTGGATTGCCTTGACGCCGACTCCATCTCTCCAGGGTTTTATTCGCCAGTCTTCCTGGTGCCCAAGAAGGGTTCATCTAAACTACAATAGATCCACAATCTGGCGTTATTCAACCCTCATTATCTTGCGCCACTGCCACATTTCCCGATAATCTACATCCGGTCTCTGCGCCACCTCCTTCAACCGATGGATCTCCAGGATGCCAACCTACACGTTCCCATTCAGGCAGCACATAGTCATTTCCTCAGCTTCAGCTTCCTGGGCCAGCATCCGATGTTGCGTTCCTTCACAGCAGGGGGATTCGGTTCGGAGCTTTCCTCGACGACTGCATCAATTAAACCTTGATTCTTCAGCGCGATTTCACCCTTCGTCTTCTCCATTGGTTGGGTTGGTTGATCAACATGGAGAAATCGGATCTGACTCCTCCTCGCCATCTCACCTTCATAGGCTTCTCTGACAGAACTCTCCTTGATACAGGTTCCTCCGGATCGGTTCGCAGCGATACAATCTGGGATCAGGAGAGCCCTCTCTCAACCTCTTGATCTCCGCCAGTGGCAGAGTCTTCATGGGTTGTTGACCTCAGCTCAGGATCTAACATCCAGGGGTCGTCTTCAACTGCGTCCCCTTCAACAGTTTCTCCTGCCATTTCTGCACTCAGACCTGTCGGGTCCTCTGTGCCAAGTGAATTACGTCCGTTCCTGGAGTGGTGGCCAGTCCCATCGAACATCTTGAGTGGTTGCTCTATGATAAGCGTCGAGGCCACTCACCATCTTTTCGTGTACACATCACTCAAGGATGGGGTGCCCATCTTCTCCAGGAAACCGCTTCCAGTCTTTTGACTCCTTCAGAACGCGAGTGGCACATCAACAATCTGGAGTTGGAGGCTGTCATTCGTGCGATTCATCATTGGTGTCGGATACTCTGTAACAGCCTCCTCTCATGGTCGCCTCAGACAACTCCACGGTTGTGTATTACATCAACAGGCAAGGGTCGACTGGAGCAGACCTTCCGCCTGTTTAATCTGGTCGATGGTCTTAGCCGTCTCCCTGTCAAGAACCGATCATCCGTCCCCCACAGAGTGGATGTTCCACCCGGTTCTTGTGCAATAGCTGGGGGACTCCAATCGTGGATCCCTTCGAAAACAGTGTGCAACCACCAATTGCCAGTGTACGTGTCTCCTGTCCGGGACCCAGCTGCTTGGGAGGTAGACAGCCTCGCGCTGTCCTGGGTCATTCAGAAGGCTGCACAGACCTGTCCCCTGTAGTTGTTTTTGGTCGCGCCTAACTGGCAGTCCAACATTTAGGTTCCCAGGCTCCTTCAACTCGCAGGAGAACCCGTATTACGTTTCACGGAGTGTACAAATCTGCTGCTCAATCCTCACAAGAGCATCCAGACCCTGACGGTTCTCATTCCAATCCATCATGGAGGGGTGCTTCTGATCATCTACTACTGTCTTCACCAGCCATTATCTTCACAACATTTTGGTGGAGGACATCCACTTGTCCTGGCCCAGCGGCTGACCAACCCCAGACGCCGTTGACCGTGCAGATTCTGAGGAGCGGGGCTGTCTGCGGCCCCACTGGTCCCACCAGCGCCTATTGCCAAGGTAGGACCATCCTTTGTGCTGCTCCTCTTGGGTTGCTAGGTACTGTTATGTCGGTATCTAGTAAGACTTTTCCCCCTTTTTTTGAGCCGGACACGGAATGCCTTGCTTTTACCCTCTGTGACGCATTGTTCTCTCTACCTTCAGACCACCATTTTGTTCCGAGAGGGCTTGACCTGCATCTTATCCCCTTCCGCTACCTTGCTGTCGCCTGCTGGGTTTTCTGCCCGACGGTTTTATTATGCTTCTTCAGTGTGCCTGGCGCCTCTCACGGTAAGCCCATCTTCCATGTCAGTCGAAAAAAGCACTGTGTAGCGGCAGGTAAGGTAAAACATGAGCATTTCTGATTTAATGCAATGATTTATACTTACCTGACGCTACACCTATAGGCCCACCCGGACTCCGCCCCCCCCCCCTCCGCCTCACCATTGGTGCCACTGTGTACACTCTATGTCTGATGTCATCCAGAGAAGAATATGAGGACTGGAGGCCAAGGGGGATAACTCGTGGATGGCTAGGCACGGGCTGTGGTCTGTTTAAACTGTCTCTTCCTTCCAGTTCTGTCTGTTTGCATAAGGTAGGGAAGCTAAAGCACTGTGTAGCGTCAGGTAAGTATAAAAAGTATAAAAACATTGCAGTTAATCAGAAATGCTCATTATTGTTGATTGACATATTACTAATGATATTTGTTATTCTGTTTCAGAAGTAGATGCCGTAAGCATGGTAAGTATCAAAGCAGTAGGAACACAATACACGTGAATCCAACATGAAATAGGCGGAAGTATCACCGTGATAACAGATTTAGAAACATAATCAGAACAAACCTGGCCTGAGGGACATGGCTCTGCACAATGAATCGTCAATTCTTACGAGATCCTTCTTGTTACAAATGTGGTTGAAAGAGAGAAAGCTATATTATAAAAGCAACAAGCAGGTGACTGTGACTCACAGTCTCATTAAAATCAGAACTCGCTATTTGTTAAGCGGCAGCGAGAACTTAGATCTGATTTTAATGAGATTGCTGTGACTTATTGACTACTTTAGTTGCAACGCCCCAGACAAAGGAATACTTGAAGGCAAGATAAGCTGTGATATATTTATTGATATTTATCAATTATTTGTCCCATATTGTGATATTTGTTGACACTTGTAAGTGAAACTCTTATCTTATTTTAGATTTAGCATGTTTAAGGAGTACTGGTGTTTGATTTGACTGCAGGTGTACCTCATGGGTGCACAGCATTTTTTAAAATAAAAAACAACTAAAACAAATTCAAATATTTCCAAGCAAATATGCCTTACTCTTTAAATCATTGCCTCATACACTTTTTTAACAAATTGAAAGAGCAACATACTTTAAGTTACTGTTACAGCTGGCCATCGGTACAGATCATAGATATCGTTTCGTTACATATCAGAGAGGTAACTTTGAGCAAATACGCAAAAAGTCTTAAAGAATTCAACATATTTCACTGCACTGGTGAGTGGACAATTATGATATAACAGAAACAGTTGCTTTCCGTCTTCAGCTATTGACATGATACACAATTACAAAATAACTCATGTATGATTTTATCAATGACACAATTTTCAAGTCGATAATCATTAATATTTCTTCCCATCAACGATAATTCCTATTATCTATTGTTTAAGCCAGCCCTAGTTACTGTTGTCTGTCATTACAAGCGCTATGTTGTGGACACTGGTCAGCCTGTAGAGCTGTTATGTCATGTATCTTTTGGCTTTGACCGGGCATTAATGAACTGAATTGTCAGGTAACCAGCACCTGGCGGACCTCATACTGTAACTATTTCAACAAACTGACACCACATCCTCGTGCTCAGTCTTCTTTGATTACTTTTGTCCTTGCTAATTTTCTTATTTTCAGACTCAAGTAATGCGGAGGGGACACAACTGCTTGAAGGTGGTGCAGGTACGAACTCAGTAGCAAGTAGTTGTTTTAATTTAGCCTGCCTGAATGAAAATAACATAAGTTTTAACTTACTTTGCTCTAAAATCTGTTTGACTGATGATGTTTCTAGGTCACCATTATCCATACCCGTGCTCGTGGGTTTCACCGGAGTGGTAAACGTCTGAGACCTGCATCACTTCAGGTATCCTCCCACATTAAGCTGATATGATCATTTGCCATCATCATACAGATCATGAGATATGTCTTGAGGAGTCACACTATGCCCTACTTGTTTTGCATAGTAAACAGGTAATTCTTTGCGACCGTTTTATTATTGCGAGTTTTGCGAACGAGACTCAATCGCAAAAATTAAAAACGCAAAAATAAGTATAAATAATACATACATACTTTATTCATTGCAACACGTCATCAAATGTTGAAAACATCAACCAGAACCACAAGTTACTCAATAAGTTAAAAACACAAATAAATGCAGAATGGTCACACAATACATCACAAATGACAGTGTAAACAGACCAATTAGTGTCTTCTTATATAGTTTGCATTCAAACTCACAGTCATGACACTGAGTTGAGTCAATTATCATATTTGATAATTGGTCGCAATCCCTTCCGGTCAACTTTCCGGCCAACTCAGATTAACTAGCTCCGGAGAGAAGCTGTCTATTGTTTGGTAATCGAGGGGTCATCTCAACACGGCAACTCGCAAAATTATCTCGTCACAGTATTGTCTTTGGTGTGGTATTCATAATATACTAGCCACATAAAGAAACTGTGCACGGAGAAAATATATTCTGGATTGAAATACAACACAGCAAGAACAAAATGATGCAGACGCTGTAGCAGCTGAATGATCGGACCATAAGAAAATGACAATGGGACCTGAACAACATCTGTTACGATGACGTCAGAAGATCAAAATGGAGTAGGGGGTCAAACGACAAAGTCACAAAGTCAATAACGGGTATGACCACCCTGTGCGTGAATCACAGCAGTGCATCGGCGACGCATGGAGTCCACCAAATGGGCATGGAAGGCCTGGGGAATGGCCTGCCATATCCTCCTCAAATCCTGTGCCAAGTCACGGACGTTATCTGGAGGATGTGGAAGACGACGCAGACGGCGCTCCATTTCATCCCACACATGCTCTATTGGGGAGAGATCTGGAGATTTTGCAGGCCATGGCAGTAACATGACATTGTTATGGTGAAGGAAATCCATTGCGACCCTAGCTGTGTTAGGACGAGCGTTGTCCTGTTGAAATGTCAATCCTGGGACATGACGTTGCAGGAAAGGAATGACCACAGGCCTCCGAATCTGATCTCTGTAGCCAACACCGATGAGATTGCCCTGAACAACCACCAAAGGGGTTCGGTGCCGTGCTGTTATCCCACCCCAAATCATCACAGAGCCACCTCCAAATCGATTCCTCTCCACAATACAGTTGCGTGCATAACGTTCTCCCAAACGCCGGTAGACACGTTGCCGCCCGTCACTGTGGGAAATGTTGAACCTCGATTCATCTGTAATGACAACATTTCTCCACCATATTCGAGGTTGGCAAACATGATTTCGACACCATCTTAGACGGTTGACTTGATGACGGAGTGTCAGGATGGGACGTGTGGCAGGGCGTCGCGGTCGAATCCCGTATTGACGTAAACGATTCCTGACAGTGTTGGGATGGATACGGCGCAGTCCAGGAATTGTCTGGGACGTCGTTACTGCCGTTTGGAACCTGTGTTGGATCAGTGTAACTCGAATCCATCTGTCCTGTCTTGGCGTCGTTACTCGGGGACGTCCTGAACGTGGGTGGTCGGCAACGTCATTTGTGTTCTGATAACGCCTCACCAATGCCGATATTGTGTTACGATGGCACTGGAAATGTGTTGCCACCTGTTGTTGCCTCATTCCCGCTCAGATCATTCCAATGGCTTCATGACGCTGTGCAGCTGTCAATCTTGGCATGATTTGCTTGTGATATGCTTGTGTCTGCGCCTGAGTAGTTTTGAATTTTTGAATGACCACAGATCATGCTTTCCAAAGTGACAGCGAATTTTGAGTTGAACATGCTGTGTACAGCTGCACAGGATGCACGTGCAGTAACACATTGCACGTCCATAGGCCCCTATCAATGACGTCATATCGCATGGCACGTGCATGAGCGTTTGAATGTCTCCAATAATTGCTGTGTTCAAACCTATCTTTCATATATGGACGGTGTGCCCTTATATCTATATTTTCTCCGTGCACAGTTTCTTTATGTGGCTAGTATATTTTAACGACGCAGAAATAAAGCTGTTTAGAGTATATGTTAAAGATGCGGTTCTGTTCCTGTAAAAAAAATCTTCTGACCCAGTTGGTCTTCCAGGTCAGAGTGGAGTCCTGTTTGTCATAACAGCCGACTCCATGCATAGCATCATATTCAGATATCATGGAGTGTTACCTGTCAGAGACTTGATCATGCACAGGCTGCCCTGATATAACAGGAATATTGCTGTCTTGGCACTTGGTGCTCATGCCACTGACATTCTTTAACTATTTGCATTGCATGATGTACCTGTACACGTTCCTTATTTGTAAGATGTCGTACACATGACCAGCAGTCGTCCTTTGTGTTACAGCAGACACTGACCTCCAGACTCCGGACACTGACCTCATTGCTGCCTGCAGGGAGGGGAATCTACAGAGAGTGAGGAACATCCTGGATCAGAGACTGGAGGACATCAACAAGAAAGACTGCGGTGGGATGACACCAGTGATGTGGGCAGCAAGGAGGGGGCACAGAGAAGTGTTGGACTTGCTTGTGAAGAAAGGGGCTGATGTGTCAGTAAAGGATAAGGACGGACACAACATTCTTCACTGGGCCTGCTATGGATCTAATTTTGCAATGGTGAAGTATGTCCTGTCACTGGGCAAGGTGGACATTAACAACACAGGACAGGACGGGAGGACACCGGCAATGTTCGTAGCTCGGCAGGGATATAGGAAACTGTTTCAGTTACTTGTAAGTAAAGGGGGTTTCCCATCAGAGATTGACAAGGATGGAAACAACATCCTGATACTGGCCTGTTGGGGTGGGAATGAGGAGATTGTGAAGTATATGCTCTCACATAAAACTGTAGACATCAATGGTAGAGGACAGTCCAACAGGACTCCATTGATGGCAGCAGCATACCGGGGAAATGAAAAGGTGGTTGATCTACTTGTGAAAGAAGGAGCTGATCTGACACTACTAGATGCTGCTGGAGACAACGTCCTCCATGTGGCCTGTCTAGGGGGATATGAGGACATTGTTAAGCGTGTCGTGGACTTGGTGGACATAAGCAGACCAGGACAATACAACAGGACGCCCTTGATGATGGCAGCAAGGCGGGGTGAGAAAGAAATATTTGAATTACTTGTGGAGAAAAAAGCTGCATCGTGTGTGGATGATGATGGTAACAACATCCTTCATCTGGCCAGTGAGGGAGGACATCTGGAGATAGTGAAGTCTATCCTCGAAAAGAAGGACATTCTGGACATCCACGCCAGGAACAAACACAATGAAACAGCAGCCATGCTGGCACCAAGGGGGAGTGAAGTGTCCGACCTTCTTGTGTCACGTTATAAAGTTCTCATGAAGTAAGTGAAACATTGAGGGCAGGTGAATACTCCAGCTGAGAACGTCTGTCTGACTTTGATAGAAAGGTTAAAACTGTTTAACGGACCACCTCCATGGGGAGACAGGTTGATGATGTTTTCCTGGTCCTCTGGTTACTTGAAATGTTCTGGGATGTTTTATACCCTACATGAATAGGCGGAAGTCAAATGAAGATAATCCAATACATTCCTATGTATACATGCAGCTCTGATTGGGTTAGTCTGAACTCAATAACTATTCCCAGTTCAATCCATCTGCTGACAGAATAGCATTTGTACTGATAGAACATGCATTGAGTTCGTCATGGCGGTGTTGTATCTGCTGATGTATGCTTGAATATATGGTGTATACCCTGGTACTTTGTTATGTTGATCAGTATATTAGGTGCAATTAGACTTGACTGACTTTACAGATTGTTATCTGATTGATTCAGGCGAGTAGCTTTTGTATGTTTAGTGAGAGTAGTCAGCTTATAGGCTAAGCATGACATCATAATGGAAGCCAGTTTTGAATGATAATGTGTTGAATGTGGATATTTTTTTATCGGAAACAAAACCATTATAAACATACATTTGCTTCACAGTTGCGTACACCTCTTGGCTGTGTTTTAGAAGAAATTAGTTTGTCACAAGATATTCATAAATTGAATGTGTAACATTATTGATAACTATATAATGTATTATTTATATTTTTCTGCCTTTCAGATATTACTTGGTATTTTTTGTATTGGAACAAAACTGAATCTAACAATTGATTCAGTCTGCCCCCACCTAACGCAGGTCTCACTGTACATCCCTCGGCACTTGCCGGTTGCCATTGACAACCATGATTACGAGAACACTTGATGTCTTACAAAGCACCAGATGCATTCTGACACATACGTCATTTATATTTATTTGCTCAAATTCGAACACGTTTTAATATAAATGTCAATGATGTTGTCATGTCTGACTTTTGTCTAAAGCTTGAATAAAATAACTACAGTTTGAGTCTTCTTGTCATTTCACCAGACATCCTATGGTCTGCCATACACCGACACAGGTCAGTGGATCATGTATCATCCACACAGTGGGTCAGTGGATCATGTAACATCCACACAGTGGGTCAGTGGATCATGTTACATCCACACAGTGGATCATGTAACATCCACACAGTTGGTCAGTGGATCATGTAACACCCACACAGCAGGTCAGTGGATCATGTAACATCCACACAGTAGGTCAGTGGATCATGTAACATCCACACAGTGGGTCAGTGGATCATGTATCATCCACACAGTGGGTCAGTGGATCATGTATCATCCACACAGTGGATCATGTAACATCCACACAGTGTGTCAGTGGATCATGTAACATCCACACAGCAGGTCAGTGGATCATGTAACATCCACACAGTAGGTCAGTGGATCATGTAACATCCACACAGTGGGTCAGTGGATCATGTAACATCCACACAGTGTGTCAGTGGATCATGTAACATCCACACAGTTGGTCAGTGGATCATGTAACATCCACACAGTGGGTCAGTGGATCATGTAACATCCACACAGTGGGTCAATGGATCATGTAACATCCACACAGTAGGTCAGTGGATCATGTAACATCCACACAGTGTGTCAATGGATCATGTAACATCCACAAAGTGGGTCAGTGGATCATGTTCCATCCACACAGTGGGTCAGTGGATCATGTATCATCCACACAGTGGATCATGTAACATCCACACATTAGGGCAGTGGATCATGTAACATCCACACAGTGGGTCAGTGGATCATGTAACATCCACACAGTAGGTCAGTGGATCATGTAACATCCACACAGTGGGTCAGTGGATCATGTAACATCCACACAGTAGGGCAGTGGATCATGTAACATCCACACAGTTGGTCAGTGGATCATGTTACATCCACACAGTAGGTCAGTGGATCATGTAACATCCACACAATGGGTCAGTGGATCATGTAACATCCACACAGTGGGTCAGTGGATCATGTAACATCCACACAGTGGGTCAGTGGATCATGTAACATCAACACAGTAGGGCAGTGGATCATGTAACATCCACACAGTAGGGCAGTGGATCATGTAACATCCACACAGGTCAGTGGATCACGTAACATCCACACAGTGGGTCAGTGGATCATGTAACATCCACACAGTGGGTCAGTGGATCATGTTACATCCACACAGTGGATCATGTAACATCCACACAGTGGGTCAGTGGATCATGTAACATCCACACAGTAGGGCAGTGGATCATGTAACATCCACACAGGTCAGTGGATCACGTAACATCCACACAGTGGGTCAGTGGATCATGTAACATCCACACAGTGGGTCAGTGGATCATGTAACATCCACACAGTAGGGCAGTGGATCATGTAACATCCACACAGTTGGTCAGTGGATCAGTGGATCATGTAACATCCACACAGTGGGTCATTGGATCATGTAACATCCACACAGTGGGTCAGTGGATCATGTAACATCCACACAGTAGGGCAGTGGATCATGTAACATCCACACAGTGGGTCAGTGGATCATGTAACATCCACACAGTGGGTCAGTGGATGATGTAACATCCACACAGTAGGTCAGTGGATCATGTAACATCCACACAGTAGGTCAGTGGATCATGTAACATCCACACAGTGGGTCAGTGGATCATGTAACATCCACACAGTGGATCATGTAACATCCACACAGTAGGGCAGTGGATCATGTAACATCCACACAGTGGGTCAGTGGATCATGTAACATCCACACAGTGGGTCAGTGGATCATGTAACATCCACACAGTGGGTCAGTGGATCATGTAACATCCACACAGTGGGTCAGTGGATCATGTAACATCCACACAGTGGGTCAGTGGATCATGTAACATCCACACAGTGGATCATGTAACATCCACACAGTAGGGCACTGGATCATGTAACATCCACACAGTGGGTCAGTGGATCATGTGACATCCACACAGTAGGTCAGTGGATCATGTAACATCCACACAGTAGGTCAGTGGATCATGTAACATCCACACAGTGGGTCAGTGGATGATGTAACATCCACACAGTGGGTCAGTGGATCATGTAACATCCATACAGTGGGTCAGTGGATGATGTAACATCCACACAGTGGGTCAGTGGATGATGTAACATCCACACAGTAGGGCAGTGGATGATGTAACATCCACACAGTGGGTCAGTGGATGATGTAACATCCACACAGTAGGGCAGTGGATCATGTAACATCCACACAGTAGGGCAGTGGATCATGTAACATCCACACAGTAGGGTAGTGGATCATGTTACATCCACACAGTAGGGCAGTGGATCATGTAACATCCACACAGTAGGGTAGTGGATCATGTTACATCCACACAGTGGGTCAGTGGATCATGTAACATCCACACAGTAGGGTAGTGGATCATGTAACATCCACACAGTAGGGTAGTGGATCATGTAACATCCACACAGTAGGGCAGTGGATCATGTAACATCCACACAGTAGGGCAGTGGATCATGTAACATCCACACAGTAGGGTAGTGGATCATGTTACATCCACACAGTAGGTCAGTGGATCATGTAACATCCACAGTGGGTGAGTGGATCATGTAACATCCACACAGTAGGTCAGTGGATCATGTAACATCCACAGTGGGTCAGTGGATCATGTAACATCCACACAGTAGCTCAGTGGATCATGTAACATCCACACAGTGGGTCAGTGAATCATGTAACATCCACACAGTAGGTCAGTGGATCATGTAACATCCACAGTGGGTCAGTGGATCACGTAATATCCACACAATGGGTCAGTGGATCATGTAACATCCACAAAGTGGGTCAGTGGATCATGTAACATCCACACAGTGGGTCATGTAACATCCACACAGTGGGTCAGTGGATCATATGACATCCACACAGTGGATCATGTAACATCCACACAGTGGGTCAGTGGATCATGTAACATCCACACAGTGGGTCAGTGAATCACGTAACATCCAAACAGTAGGTCAGTGGATCATGTAACATCCACAGTGGGTCAGAGGATGATGTAACATCCACACAGTAGGGCAGTGGATCATGTAACATCCACACAGCGGGTCATGTAACATCCACACAGTGGATCATGTAACATCCACACAGTAGGTCAGTGGATCATGTAACTTTCACACAGTGGGTCAGTGGATCATGTAACATCCACACAGTGGAACATGAAACATCCACACAGTGGGTCAGTGGATCATGTGACATCCACACAGTGGTCAGTGGATCATGTAACATCCACACAGTAGGGCAGTGGATGATGTAACATCCACACAGTAGGGCAGTGGATCATGTTACATCCACACAGTAGGTCAGTGGATCATGTAACATCCACACAGTGGGTCAGTGGATCATGTAACATCAACACAGTAGGGCAGTGCATCATGTAACATCCACACAGTAGGGCAGTGGATCATGTAACATCCACACAGGTCAGTGGATCATGTAACATCCACACAGTGGGTCAGTGGATCATGTAACATCCACACAGTGGGTCAGTGGATCATGTTACATCCACGCAGTGGATCATGTAACATCCACACAGTGGGTCAGTGGATCATGTAACATCCACACAGTGGGTCAGTGGATCATGTAACATCCACACAGTGGGTCAGTGGATCATGTAACATCCACACAGTGGGTCAGTGGATCATGTAACATCCACACAGTGGGTCAGTGGATCATCTAACATCCACACAGTGGGTCAGTGGATCATGTAACATCCACAGTGGGTCAGTGGATCATGTCACATCTACACAGTAGGGCAGTGGATCATGTAACATCCACACAATGGGTCAGTGGATCATCTTACATCAACACAGTAGGTCAGTGAATCATGTCACATCCACACAGTGGGTCAGTGGATCATGTAACATCCACACAGTAGATCAGTGGATCATGTAACATCCACACAGTGGGTCAGTGGATCATGTAACATCCACAGTGGGTCAGTGGATCATGTAACATCTACACAGTAGGGCAGTGGATCATGTAACATCCACACAATGGGTCAGTGGATCATCTTACATCAACACAGTAGGTCAGTGGATCATGTTACATCCACACAGTGGGTCAGTGGGTCATGTAACATCCACAGTGGATCATGTAACATCCACACAGTGGGTCAGTGGATGATGTAACATCCATACAGTGGATCATGTAACATCCACACAGTAGGTCAGTGGATGATGTAACATCCACACAGTGGATCATGTAACATCCACACAGTAGGTCAGTGGATCATGTAACATCCACACAGTAGGTCAGTGGATCATGTGACATCCACACAGTGGTCAGTGGATCATGTAACATCCATACAGTGGGTCAGTGGATGATGTAACATCCACACAGTGGGTCAGTGGATCATGTAACATCCATACAGTGGGTCAGTGGATCATGTTACATCCACACAGTGGGTAAGTGGATGATGTAACATCCATACAGTAGGTCAGTGGATCATGTAACATCCATACAGTGGGTCAGTGGATCATGTTACATCCACACAGTGGGTCAGTGGATGATGTAACATCCACACAGTGGATCATGTTACATCCATACAGTTGGTCAGTGGATGATGTAACATCCACACAGTTGGTCAGTGGATCATGTAACATCCATACAGTGGGTCAGTGGATGATGTAACATCCACACAGTGGATCATGTAACATCCACACAGTGGGTCAGTGGATGATGTAACATCCATACAGTGGATCATGTAACATCCACACAGTAGGTCAGTGGATGATGTAACATCCATACAGTGGATCATGTAACATCCACACAGTGGGTCAGTGGATCATGTAACATCCACACAGTAGGTCAGTGGATCATGTAACATCCACACAGTGGGTCAGTGGATGATGTAACATCCACACAGTGGGTCAGTGGATGATGTAACATCCACACAGTAGGTCAGTGGATCATGTAACATCCACACAGTGGGT